GATTGAATTAATATATTCATAACATTTTTGATCATGTTGGTGATAAATCAAGGCAGCTGCAGTAGTGGCTGGTGAATCAAATAATGAACCATTTTGTCTTTGATGTAACTTTATTATTTCCTTCCAATCACATAATTCACCAACTCCTTCACCCATATATTCAATATTCCTCGTGAATTCATTCTGTAATGCTCTAAGAATTTGCAAAATTTGTCATGAAATCATGAATATAGGAAAAGTAAAAAGTATATTCTAAAATACTTATATAGAGAGAGAAGAGAGGAAAGAATGAAATATGAGAGAGGCGAGTAGGAAAATTAGGGGGTCGTTTGGTGGAGTGTATTAAAAATAATAATGCATGCATTAGTCTTGTATATTATAGTAACTTATTTGGTATTTTTTTCTAATTTATGTATAACTAATACACCCTATTGTGTATTAAGGTGTGTACTGTTAATATCATGAATTACTAGATGTTAGCCAATAATGCAACGGTTTTAATGCATGCATTAACTTAATTAAAGACTCAGTTGCCCCTCAATAACTTTTTTACGTGCAGGCAGCTGGTGGAACTCCTCAAAAGTGCCAGAAATCTTTTCTCCCCATAATAATTGAGAGTATCTTTGAAAATAACTTTTATAATGTAATGCATTCTATTTTTAATGCATCAAACCAAACGATGCATTAAAAATAATCTACATTGATTAATGCAAGCATAACTAATCAATACATGCATTGCTAACACAAATATTACTAATGCACTCTATTTAGCATTATTTGTATACACTCTACCAAATGATCCCTTAATGTATTCTAGATACATATTAATCATGCTTGACTGTTGTATATCTCGAATAAATAATATCTAATTTGACCCTTATTTAGTGCCAATTTAAATTTTTGAGCAACAACAATAATAAAATAATAATGTAAAATATAGTTTTGTTAAGGAACATACCTTTTAATCGTTGAATCTATTTTGTTCATTGCTAGATTTAAGTTTAGTTTTTCTGCAGACTTGATCATACTGGGAAATATAATTTCAAATCCTAGAGGTGAAATTTGATCCTTGTTATCAATTGCCCAACTCTGGGTTTCAATAAAGCCAAGGCCTGAAAGAAATAAAGAAATTATGTTAAGTCATTAAACCACTACTTCCAAATCTGTTTCTTATAATTGCTTAGTAACCAAACAAAAATAATGTAACTTTTTTAAAATTAAAATGTTAAAGAAATTATCTAAAACAATCTTAAATTATCATAGTCTCTAAAATTCTCCACAATTAAAAAGAGAGAGAGAGAATAGCCTCTCGACTACATCTTTATCTCCTCTCTGATACATATCTCTATCCTCAGGTTTCATGATTTATTTTAAATCCTATAATTTGAAGTAATTTGAGAAAAAGACAGGAATCTAATTTATGTAATCTAATTCATATGCAAGAGTCGATTTAACTAATTTTTAGTATCTTCTTAACAAATATGTAGATATAAACGTGACAAATAAAAATGAACTAAAGAAATAACAAAATAGTGTTGAATTGAACAAATTAAGTCCATTAACCTCTTTTGATCTGCTCATCTCCAACTCTCCATTTGGTTAGGGCAAGCAAACATGCAAGAGTGGAAGAAAGTGAGTCCTTGAGAAGCAATGGATGGGTAGGGTTTAGTCCCCAAGATCCATCTTCTCTTTGATTTTCAATAATCCAATCCAAACATTGTGGAAAACATGGCTCATTTAGTGAATATTTTGAAGGGACCATAGCTACCCATGCTGTGTCATAGGAAGAAGGAGATAACTCTACTTTACTAAAACTTTCCCTTATTCTCTCCTTTGCTTCTTCAAAACCATCCTGTAATCATGAGAGACCGGATCTAGTTTGAGTTTTTCAAATATCATATACGTTGGGTTTTTAAATCTATAAATCAAATCAAACTAATAATACTTAGTTATTTCAACTTAGGATTTTTTAGGGTTCTTCCTGTAAAATATTCATACGAATGTATAATTAACTTTTTAGTCCTATCAAAATACAATACTATAACATGAAATATGATATGATGTGACTAATTACTGATTACGCTAAAATATTCAATCAAAACTAATAATGAAATTTGCATAAACAAATATTGCAAATAAATAAATCGTAATGAAAATAATCATAATTTTAAAATATTAAATCATGCAAAAATAGATCTAATAAGTAGTAATTAAACGACTACACATTAATAAATTTCAAAACTAAAATTAGGTTATATATTTTAATTAGGCTCTGTATATAGTGGATTTTGTAAGTCTTCTAGTTTTTTTTTTTTGACTGACCAGTGTTGTATTGAGGTCAAGTCTAGTCCCCTCTACTCATTTTTTTTTTATTGATTTAAAAAAAGAATCTATATCAAAGTTGAATGATTATGTTAAAAGATAAAAACTATTAAAAAATTAAGTATAAGAAATATTTATAAACTAAAGTGAGGGGGATCATCTTACCATTGATGAAGCAGTATTATAGCTGCATTGTCTCTGCCACATAACATGTGATCCTTTTGAACAAAGAGAAATAGGAAAAGCAAAGTAAATAATAATAATAATAATAATAATAATAATAATAATAAAAGAATACTTCAAAGTTAATATAATTGAAGTATTATTCTTGCAAAATGTTTCTTACTCAGTTTATCATGAGAAAGTGGTCTGAAATTGATTCTATAGCCAATTATCATTGTGAGGTGGGTAAAGAGGGAAAGAGCACTATGGAATATAAATATATACACACTAAGGTTTAGGTGAACGTGATAACCTCTATATTTGACTCTGTTTATCAGTTGAATCCTTCTAACTCATTATTTTGCCAGATGAATCCTTAAACTCATTTAAACACAATATTTTAAGCCCCTTTCTCATTTGATATGTGTACGTGTAATACACTCATTTTACACATTAAATCCCACGTCATTTTTTAATGACACATCGTTGTTGTACTTATTTTTTCAATGACACGTCAAAAATTACATTTTAAAAATAAATAATATTAAAAAATAAAAAGTACAATTTTTTCTCTCTTTCTCCCCCTTCCTACTTCATCATCTTCATTTTCACCTACCCTCTACGCCTCACCCCCTCCAAAAAAAACATCATTTTCATATTTTTTTCTCTAAAGTTTTTTTCAATCATAAAATATAATAAATTGCAATTAGCTCTTGCACATACATGTTTTAGGTTTCATTTAGATTTAAAAAATATCACTAAAAACTTCAAGTTGGAAATAAGTTATTTATGAGTAAATTCAAGCAATAAATCTTAAATTTATAAAAATAGTTCATGATATGTTCTTGCAAAAACTTTCTTTAATTTTATATTTGATGATTATGACAATGGATGTACGTTAAAGAAGAAGAATAGAAAAGGGGTAAGGGCGAGATGTAAATATGGGGCTGAAGAAGAAGAGAAAAAGGATGGGGAAGAAGAACAGAAAACGGGGGTGGGGTGAGGTGGGCTGAAGAAGCAAGGGTTTGGGATTTTTTTTAAAAAAATTATTATTATTATTATTATTTTGTCTTATATTTTTAATAATTTTTAAATAAAAATATCGCATTCACTTGCTTTAAAGTGCATGTGGTCACACATTTATCTAACTCAGCTATTTTGATACCATATAAGTTTGTTCAATGGTGAGAGGGGTTTAGAAAATAGAGTTTCATCGAGTTTATGAGTTCATTTGGCAAAGTGATGAGTAGAAGGATTCAACTGACAAACAAAGCCAAGTATACGAGTCTCCCAAGTCATTCCGCCTATTGAGATATTTGAGTCAAATTAAAGCCAGCTAAAAAAAATATGAAAAAGTTAAAAAAAGAAAGGAATTATGAATATACACAATATATATATATATATATGCATGTGACTAAACAAAGAATTAGATAGTAAGTTTCATGTGACACTGCAATCATGAAGACGTAAAAACGATTCAAATTTTATAAAAGTTTCTTAACAACTTACATTTATTTATATTCAAAGTTAAAAATTAAAAATAAAAGCATCAATTGTATAGTCGAATGACAACACATGCATCAACACCCTCTTTGGAATCTTTTTGTTTGTTCTCAAACAACACAAAAAACTTTAAAAGTAAGAGAAACTTAAAGACAAACTACATCAATAATTAATAACATACACATACAAAATATGTGCACATGGACATCTCTCAACACATTGACCACAGGGATCTAATGATAACATTAGGATATCAATGAACAATTTGCATACATAATCAATAAATATCTCATGAACAATTAGCAATTAGTATATAGCTGTTTGCAATAAATTTTAAACATATGAAAAATAAATAAATTATACAAATAAAATATGAGGAAACATAATTTTCTTGATTAAGATAGCGAGTATAATTCTGTTGATCCCTTGATTCTACTCTTCTAGGATTTATCCATGATTCGAGGGCGATTAGTGGCGTATTTGTCGAACTAGGATGATTTAGATTTGACCTCTCTTTATGAATAATCCATCAATATATGGAGTATTCGAGATCTTGATCTCTTTATGAAATTTCTGAGATGCCTTTTAAGAGAATTTAGTACCCTTTATATACCATAAATTAGGATTTAGGGTTGAATAGCCTCCAAGAATCCTAATTTGAGTTTATCACAATTTGTAGAGTTTCAACACAAATTGAACACGTCTTGTAGAGTTCCACAAAATTTCAATGTCTACAAATTGCTTCAAAGCTTGTCGGAGCATAGACTTGATAAAACTCAAAGACGAGGCTTGAAGAAGAGTGTCTATTATTGGTTGTAAATCCAGCCTCCCAATGACATTACAAAAATGCATAGTGTTGTGCGGAATTTGAGATAATACGAGAAAATATAAACGCGAAAAACAAGACAACAGATTTACGTGGTTCACCAATAAATTGGCTACGTCCACGGGAAGAGAGGGAGCAGTTTTATTATGGAGAGGCAAAAACAGAATTACAGAATAGGGCAACAAAGGACTTCACCTTGTGATTGCACTAAACAGAATTGTAGCGGGTCCGATTCAAGGCATTCAACACATAGCATTGACAGAAGAGACTACAAAGGT